TTTAAATTTGTACTTTATAAAATGTCCTATATATTTTTTATTTGAATTTTTTATTATGCCCTTCACATTTGTGAATTAATTTCTATCGACTGCTTTCCGATTGGGATTAATCATGTCGCAAACTTTTGTAGTTTGGCGCTTGGTGACAGAATCTTGTTGGGCAGTACTTTTGACCTTTCAAAAAAAAAAAAAAAACAGAAAGAAAGGCAAGACTATTAAGGCAACATCCAGTTTCTAGTAGAGACGATTAAAACAAAGAACAAATTAATTACTAAAATATATACATATATAGAGAATAAATTTGTATACAATTGAGAGCGCTCAACCAGATTGTTGGCCTAACTGGAAACGCTTTATTTGGCGATCTATCTCTGTGAGGGCAATTGAATTGTGGGCGTGGCCTGGCTTTGGAGCTGTGCGGATGGGGCCATTGGGGGTGCACAGGTGCTTGCACAGGTGTCAAGCGCGGCGTGTATTCAAATTAATAATGCCAAATTGATTGCATAACATTTGTCAATGGAAATCTGGTTTTCGGCCGAGTCTAGCACGGGCTTAGCCCATCCGTCAGCTGCACCGCCTCGCGCCATGATTGAATATGATTGATTTAGGCGGCATAAATTATGAACAGGCCAGGCCGGGCCCGGCCGGGCCCTCGCAGGTATTCTTGGCATTCACCGCCAGTTTGATTCGATTCCATTCAGCCGCCCCGGCCAACGCGACCTTGGGCATTTGACAAATGAGCTGCGTAAGCCGTAGGATTTGCACAAGACGCACAATTAAATGACTGCCAGGCGGCAAATTGACATTGGCTGGGCCACAAAGGACCCAGCTGCTCAGGGCCAGCTGAGCTAGCCATCTTTTTAGTGGCATCGCATTGCGTCTCAATCCACCCAAATGAGTAATGTCAATTGCAGGTCAATTATTGGAAATCGACAAAAATACTTGTGAAACTTGGCCAATCGCAATTTGACAATTTCAATCGGATTGCCAATTGGCCCGGACGTGAGCCACATTCAAATTGTCCGCATTTCAAGCAGTTGCCGCACTGCCAATTGGCCACTGGGCAAGTTTACCCAGACTTAACTCAAATTACTATTCTACAAACTAAGTATATTGCCCCTATTGTGGTTTCAACATAATGAAAGCTTAGACTCGAGTATACTCGAATAAATCTGTCTAATCTTATTTATCTAAGAGCAACATATAAATATATGTATATAGTATGAATGCAATTCCTATAAGGAATCTCAATAAATATATTGATATGCATATATCGATATTTTAAGATTAGTTATCGAAGCCACATACATTCAAAATTTACTATATATATGTATGTATCTTTATATTGTAACTACATTCATAATATAATCATATTTATTTGAAAGCAAGATTATATTATGAATGTAGCTGCGATAAGGACTCTTAAAATATATATATATCGATATTTTAAGAATCCTGATTGAATCTATCGCTATATATTTATCGATTCCTTATCGATACCATGTTCATAAAAAAAAAATATTTGACAGGATTTTGTAATATATAATTATAATGTCTTACTAACAACTCTGTCGATAGCAATTATCGATATGGATAGTTCTCAACATTTACATAGTTAAGCCTAGTTAACATCGTATCATTCAAGCATATATAAATATATCTTACCAATATGTATGCAATTTAAATCAAATTCAATAATTACCAACGATAAATAATGAGTAGTGTTGTCTATCTATCGATAACTTCAACTTGTGTCAGATAATGAAATCATTTACTTAAGCGGCTTACTCAAATACGGATATTAAGTTAAGCTCTCTTTCGTTTTTAAAGCATTGCAAATTATTTAAGCGCGTTTTTTCCACATATTAATTTTATAAAGAACTTTTTCAGCTTTTGTTTGCTTTTGTGCGCTGACATTTCAGACTGAAATTTTAGCCAGAAAAAGTTTGCAGAGAAAAAAAGCGACAAATTTAACAAATTCTATATCCACATTTAGTGTATTTATTTAGGCATTAATTTTTTTCTCTTTTGAACAGATATTT